AAGAGTCTTTCCTACTCATCCCTCAGGCAATGGATGGTGGAGTCCCAGTTCAGCTCCTCACACCCTTCTCTCAGGCAGTGGATATTGGAGTCTTATCTCAACTCCTGCCACCCATCTCTGAGATAAAAGATAGGTGGATTTCCATCTTAGCTTCTCAGACCAATCTTTGAGACAATGGACAGTGGAGTCTGATTTCAGATCAGTCTCTTGCACTGCTAGCCAAGTCTTTATCCAGAGCAGGCCCATTTGTAGGTGAGAAATCTGTCTGCAGGTAACCAGTGAAGGTAGTGCAAAACTGAGGATTATTTCCTAAAGGTATTAAGAGGCTTTCAGCTGGGATGGCTTGTGAGAAAAGGGAGCTTTAAACCTGCCACTGACAATTCAGCTTGTCCATGAGGTTTTTAGGGCTGGTTTGGGGTTCAGTACTGATGGTTCTACACCTGAGCCAGTGTCAGCTGAAGACTTAAAGTGATGTTAGCCAAACACATGATGACTCTGTAGTACATTCTCTGTGCTACTGTACACACGGTCTCCCACACGATATACATCTGCTACTGGTCTAAAGGATGCTCTCTTTGCTTTTCACAGGTTGTGCTGCCCTCCTGACCCAGGGAAGAAACTGTTAGGAGACCCATTTACCCCCACGTTGGCTATACCTTTTGATATGTTTCCTCATACTGTTCATTGTGAGCTGGTGCTGCTGCTAACCCGCTGACAAGGACATAGGTATGCCAGCTCTGAGAGCTTGGGAAGCAACCTCCTGCAGTATTGAAGCCTGGAGTCTACGTAGTGATGGATTTTAACTTATTTTCTTGACATTTGTATTTTAAAAATAAATAGTTTTGCTTTTGCTCTTACTTTGGGTTGCTTGACACTGTTCTATAAGGAAACACTCAGATTTCTGGGATGAAAAGGTTCTCTGTAGCATTTAATCACCCTTCTCTCCCCTGCAAACCTCTTCATGGGAGGCTGGTTAAAGCAGCCTGGAAAATACACTCCCCCTGCTATTGTGGGTTTTCACCATCAACATGTGAATATGGAATACTAAAATCCACTGTACTTTTGCATACTGCATGCCATTAGTTCTCTGCTTGCTTCAAGGATTTTTCAGGTGTTTTTCAAGTTGATAGTGAATTTGCAATGAAGAAACAGTAGGAACTAGAAACCCTCATGTTTCATTGGGAAAATGTGGACTTTTGGGGTCAGGGGAATGTTTCCTGTGTAAACTTCCAAACCCACTACTGAATCACTGTGAGTCATGTGGGTATGTTGGAGGCAATGGGGAAGATTTGTCTATAAAATGAAGAGAGAGCAGGTTTCAGCATGTCCCATCCTCACTGTTCTCTGCTAATGCTTGTTGATAGCCTAAACATACATTCACAGTGCCCTGTGAAAATGTCAGCAGCAAGTTGTTTCCTCATCTGGTTGCTCTGCAATAGCCAGTTCAGAAATCCGCTGTGTTTTGTTTCTGTCCTGCCATGCTCACTGACTGGCAAGCTGTGATCCTTGTTCTCCTCAGCTCTTTGAAAGATGGAGCTGCTACAACCTGGAGACAGGTCTGAGTGAGCAGTTCCCTTGTGTTCATGAACTCCACGCTGTTTACAGGGCTCCTTCTATTCTTCTGATTTCTACTTTTGTGTTGTATTGAAGTTACCTTTTGGTTTATCCTGGTCATCTGCACCAGAGCAGAACACTTACCTGCAGTGAGGCTGTTAATTTGACTCTTTCCTCCAGAAGAGGAGTTCCCTATCTGATTTGGCTGAATCAAGGCTGACAAACTTCCAAGGAAACAGAGAGCTGCCTCTGTTTTTCAGGCTTTAACTCCAGTCCTGAGCAACCGTGAGCTTGGAACAGTAACAACAACCACCACGTTTCAAGCCATGGGAGCTTAAAATACATGGGTTTAGGACCTGAGACTTAACTACAGTAGAAAGGGGAGATGATGGGGGGATTCCTGCCAGGCATAGGAAGTGTCACTCTTGTGTTATCCCATGAGAATTTTGCACACTGTTACAGCCTTTTGTTTTCAGTTAATAGCAAGGGATAGAGTTTTCCAAAGTTGTTTCATATCATTACAGCCTGGCTTCTCACTGTGAGATCTGAATGGATTTCTGCTTAGCCTGGATATGGTTTTGTCAAAAGGAAGTTTGTTGCAAATTAGAGGGGGAGAGATAATGACTTTTAACCAGAAAGTAACAGAGGATCAGAAAACCTTTCCAATACTCTGGTGAGCTGAACACACAGGACACTTTATTTGCAGTGGGAAGAGTGGCACAGTGGTCTCACTCTTTTGGGCATCAGGTTTCAGGACAGCCATAGAGACATCTTTTTTTGTTTATTTGGGGGCAAATACACAGCAATAAACCCCCATATTGCTTAATAAATAAGGGCCTGAGCACCTGAAACTGAAAGCTGCCTATGTCCAAGGGACCTCTGACCACTCCACAGCAGGTTGCTCCCCTGCCTTCTGCTAACACATCCTTGTTTTCCCAGGAGGGAGCAACTGCACTGTGCACTGTGCATCCTGCATCCCTAGAACTGGCTCAGTTTCGGCTTTCTGTGTGTAATGTATGGAACATTCAAGGAAACAGAGGATGACTTCATGGTAGGAGCAGTGGGAATGCTCACAGCCTGGCAGGTGCTAGAGCTGCCTGGCTCTGCCTGCGTGGCTGCGGGGCATTAGGACCCGGAGGCTGCTGAGCGGAGGAGGCTGAATCCCCCTCCCGCTGTCATCCTGCTGCCTCTGCAGCTTTATTCCTCATCTCCTTCAATGGTGGCTGACAGCCTCCCGCTCGGGCGGGCAGCCACAGCGAGAAGGCCTCGCTAGGACCGGTTCCCTGCGCCTCCATGGCATCCCCCAGGACCATCACCATAGTCGCCCTCTCGGTGGCCCTGGGGCTCTTCTTCGTCTTTATGGGGACCATCAAACTGACCCCTCGGCTCAGCAGAGATGCTTACAATGAGATGGTGAGTACGGCAGTGGCAGCATGGAGGGAGAAACAAGGGGCTGTATTCCCCTCAACCCTGTGGCAGAAGCAGTGTTTGCAGTGGGATATACGGAGGTTGAGTGCTCTGGGACACTGAGCGATGGTGGGGAGAGGGAAGAAGCTTATCTGTCTCTCTATCTGATGGACACAGATAGACACAATGCGCACTGCCATGGATCTCCTGGCAGCCGTCGCTGGGCTCTGTATGAGTGTATCCATGGAGAAACCTCTTGTGGAGGGGAGGGAAGGAGGACAGGGTAGCACACCAATGCCTGCAAAATACGGGGATTAAAGGGTCTCTGAAAAGCAAGGTCTATAGAAGTGCCAGACATGTAGCAGGCAGGTACAGCTGATCCCTGGGGGAATACCTACCCCTGGATTGAGGGTAGGAAAAAGCAGATGCCTGCTTTGGCAGCCAGATTGTCATGCTCAAAATTCCGTGCTTTAAAGCAAGGATAATGACACTGACTGTCCCTACCTCACCAGGCTGAGCAGGGATTAATTCATGCCTGTGAAATGCTTTGAGATTCTTAGCTGGCAGAAGATATTAATAGTTACCTCATCATTAGCCTGGGAAATAAGCCTCTCCTCCTTCTGCCTAATGGAAAGGGGTGAGGAGAGGATGGGGAAGTCACTGTGTGCATTTCCCAGCTGGTGAGCTAGTGCTGCTCGTCCCTGCCCAGGGCCAGCCCTGCTGCAGAGCTTTGCTGGCTGCAAGCTGCAGGCAGGCAGCTGCCACATCTTGCTGCCTTGTCCATGTTTGTTAATGCTCCTGCTGCCCCCTGTCACATTTATCGCAGTGGCTGAAAAGCACTGGTATAATTTTTGTGCCCCTTACAAAATACAGCGCTGGAAGTTTCCAGCACATTCTGCTCTCTCCCCTTGCTCCACCTGCCCAGCTGCTTTTGCTTAGCTCTCAAGTAACATCTGAATCGCAGTGCCTCATCTCACAGAGGGGAATCACCAAGAAGAGGCTCAGGAGCAAGAGACAGAGATGAAATGCCCAGGAAACAAAGCTCTTAAGCTTCTGGTACCTAAGGGACAGAACACAGCAGTGAGACTTTGCATACAGAGCAAAATCCTTGCTCTGTAAAATATTTCACTTCCCTGTCCCTTTCTGCTTTACCAAAAGTCAGGCCTGCAGTTAGGAATGATCTCCATTTTTAGAAAGACAACACAGAAGCACTGGGATGTTACACAGCACCATCATTCTTCTGTCATTCTTAATAGCTCATATTGTAACATGTCCACGGCTTTCATGCTTTTGCTATGCTGCATACCAGGGTGTTCTGTCATGTAATGGAGACAGTGAAAACCGGATTTTGGCCATCAATAAGCATGACTTCTTGCCCCAGGCAAATAAGAGAACCGTTGTTATCTACCTGCAACACCAAACGTGAAGCTTTTCATTCAGCAAAACCCAGACACACTAGTTTGTCTGTTAAAATACTTCAAATACCAGAGTACTCTGGGACATGCTGATAGTGCATTTCTTTAAAGAGCTGTATCTTTCACAACTGTACTCTGCTCTGAGGAGAGATTTTATCCAGTGATGGTTTAAAATCCATCCTTATTAATGAATACACTTGCAGTCACTGTGTCATGAGACCTTCAATTATTTGGTAGCAAAAGTGACAATGCTGTGTATTTCTGAAGTGCCAGCTCCTCTTAGGAGAAAGGAGAAAAATTTACAGAGAAGTAGGGAAGTTCTGTGTGCCTCTAGTGCAGGTTTCCAAACCCACATGCAAGTAAATGTACAATAGGATTAGTGCCTGTGGGAGCTGAATAGCTCTGTACCTGAGATTTGACTTCCATTTCCCTCTCCCTGATGAGAAAGCAGAGAGCACAGTGGCAAGAGTATGCACAGGGACAGTACACTCAAGTGTAAGTGGAAATAATTTGCAGCTTCAATAGTAAGGAGCTTTATTAAAATATATATAAAAGGAAATCACTGAAAAAGAAAACAAAGCCAATAAGCCCACAAGCACCTAATGTGCAAATGCAAGAACTTAAATGTGTGTAAGGACAGAGGTGGTTTCTTCCCTGAAACAATAAGGCAGCTGTGTAAGGAGGCTTAGTGTTCCAACTTACACTGCTTCTAAACCCAGCATAAACCAGGAAGCAGAGGATATCACAGGTCAGTTTGCTTTCATCTGGGGAAAGAAAGGATCACAAACGTATATAAGCACAAAATAGGATTGTTGAATCTCAGTTTTCATGTACAGTCCCATGCTAAGATTGTACTGCTCCTAAACACTAGGATATTGTAAGTTGCTGTGAGGTAGAAAGAGACTTCTTTTTTTCCTTGATGTGCCTTGGCTTTGCAGGGACTAGGTGCATTATTTACTTAGAGACTAGCTACTCCGGCAGAGAGGTACTTCTTTTTTTAACAACATGGTTCTGCATTGCTAATTCTAGCAATTGTAACTTCAGATTTCAGGAGAGGGTACACCTGGCCTGGTCCTAGCTCCAGAGTTGGGTGTTAGGCTGCAGTACTGTTTTCCAGCAAGGAGGAAATAACTTATAAAGGGGAATTGCAGGTTGATGGTATGAATATCCCCCCAACAGAAGCTTTAGGGGTACAGACTGGGCGTTGTGCCAGAGGGTGATGTATGAAGTGATCTTTAGGTCATACTATACAGCAATCTATTTAAATGGAATTCACCTTTGCCTTTACTTTCTCACATTGTGGTGTTCTACTCTATTACTGCTTGATTTCAGAAACGAGCATACAAAAGCTACGTGCGGGCCCTCCCCATGCTGAAGAAGATGGGAGTCAGCTCCATCCTCCTCCGCAAGAGCATTGGTGCCCTAGAAGTGGCGTGTGGCATTGTCATGACACTGGTGCCTGGTCGCCCCAAAGACGTGGCCAACTTTCTCCTCCTTCTCCTTGTGCTGGCTGTGCTCTTTTTCCACCAGCTAGTGGGGGATCCACTCAAGCGTTATGCCCATGCTCTGGTCTTTGGGATCCTGCTTACCTGTCGCCTGCTGATTGCCCGCCAGCCAGAGGAGCAGCCGCCAGAAAAGAGGATCCTGTCAGTGAATGGGGATGAACAGCCACTCATCAATGAAGCAGCTCCTGAGAAAGGCAAAATGAAGGTATCCTAGTTGAGTGCATGTGAGAAATACGGACCCTCGAGGCAGCTCTCTCCTGAAAATCACCCAGAAAAAAATTGTTTTTTATTTACCTATTTATATTTTTTTGTCTGTCTAAATAAAGTTGCACTTGGGGTCTGAGAGACACGTGGTATGTCTGCACTGTAGTCTTGCTTTTGCTGCTGCCCTGTAATGTAGATAAACACAAGATAGCTTTCACTGGGATAGCTTGGAGGCAATGAACAGCCTGGCCGGAGTACGCTGGTCTCAGCAGAAGCTGCAAAACCAGCCTGAGAGCACAGGCAAAGACTTGGACAGGTAATCATGCTAGCTTGGCACTGCTGCAGGGGAGAACACACCCTGAGTAACTGCTGAAACCTGGCCTGGAAGCACTTCTGCTACATGGCAGGCTCAGCAGCAGCAGCTAGGTAGAACATAAGCAGGATGACCCTGTGCTGGCTTGTGTACCTCCATCCACAAATCTGTTTCCTTTTCCATAGTCAAGGTGATAAAGGACCCTACCAAGCATAAAAGTGCTGTTGTGTTTAAGAGAGGGGTCCCTTAGCCGCTGCTTCCTCTGTGCCCAGTCCTTTCTTTGGACATATAGGGAAAAGCATGGAGTGCCCTATTTACACCTTTCTCAACTTCCACACTTTGCAGAGGCTCTAAAACTGGGACAGTGGCCTGATAAAAGTCATTTTTTTGCCCACTTCACACAAGGCAATGGCACCTCTTTACCCTTCTTGGCAGAAAGTAAGGATCCCTGGTGAGGGGATGGGGAGCAGAACTGCTCAATGAACTCAAGATCTGTCTGCTGTTGGCAAATAGCATCATGCTCCCTATTTCCTTCCAAGAACAAGATTCCTTTTTCCACAACTACTGCAGCTTTATAGAACTGTTGGTTACTGCTGATAGATGAGGGTCTGAACATGCCCAGGTACCTCGCTGTTTATCCCACGTAGCTTTGGTGAACTGGGAGAAGTCCTCTCAACAGAGCCTTGAACCCCTGTGTGTTGTATCTGAAACCTTAGAGAGCGTCATAAAAAGCATGTGTTACCTCTGAGACTGTTTTTCTTGATGTTTGTCCTCAGTTTTTCCTTGTTTTCTTAATTCCTCACATTAATAAACTTTTTGAAATATGGAGAAAAATGTGTTGACAAAAAAAAAATCTATTTTTTTTTCCAAGAGACACATTTAAAAGCATTTTTCCTGTGCTCAAACATTGCCCCTAAAATGGGGAGAATCGTATCAGGGGGATTTCAGGGGAAGACAAGGCGATGCAGGATCAAAGCCATCTGAACATTACTGGGCTTTACATCAATAACCACAGGCATTTAAAACAAGTGCTTGATCATGAAACAGTCTCAGATAAGTTTCTGCTTCAGTACGTGTCAACAAGAAAAGATATTAAAACTCCAGTAAAACATATTATGTCCCTATAAGAATTAATGATGGATGTTCGTATACAGTATATCCAGTTTTCTTCTAAGTTTGCTGCTGAAACAGCTGTAATCCCAAATATATATATATTATATATACATATATATATGCTGATAAATCTTCCTCCTAGAGCCCCTAAGAGTGACTATTTCTCTCTTACCAGATACGCCCCCTGCACAAAGGAAACTACGAGCAGGCCACCTTTCCTAGACAATCTCTCTCTCATCTTTACAGACTACCTCAAGGCCATCCCAAATGTATATAGGATTTGCATTTCATCTACCATGCCCTGACTCGAGTTACCACTTTTTAATGCAAAAGCAAGCATCACCCACTCAACCGCCACCATGATGTGTTTTCCTACCCAAAAGTACTCCACTTTTGAGTTGAATTGAGGTGAACTGCTGCAGCCTTTTGGCCAGCTGCTTGTGATACATGCATCTAACTCTGCTACAAGTGTTTGTGTTTGCCTTTTGTAACGCTCCTCAGTGAAACCTGTATAGATGCCATAGTAACAAACATAAGAATATTCCATGCAGCAAAACATCCTTGCAAAAACTTCAGATTGTGAATTCTGGAAAACATCCCCCTTTTCACATTTGCAGCAGTATAAATTACAGACCACCAGCAGCGGCCACATGATCTTTATTAGGAATACAAAACTCATTTGGGTACAGTTAACAAGAATTCGGTGTTTATCTATATTGGGTTGATCTTCATCACTGTCCCCCAGCATCAGCAAACTATTTGTGGAAGCATCTTTGCTTGCTCGAGGTGATACAGCACCAAGAACTGATTGAGTCCCTTTCTAAGACAACGACGCCCATTTACTTTTTTTCCCCTTTCTTTCTTCATCTTCAAGCCCATCATTGCAGGGGGTTGGTCTGGATGACCTCTGCGGGTCCCTTCCAGCCCAAATTCTGTGACTCTATGATCCAGTCATTTCAGTCTCGCTCCATTACTGAGGGCAGGCACCTCCTAGCGCCATGCTTCCCCACTGCAGAGTGATAAGGGGCAAGCTCTATCAGAGGAGGGGTGCCTGTCCTGCAGCCTCCCTCAGGGCTCCCCAAAACTGCTCACCACCCGCAGGACCTACCCAACATCTCCACCCGCTGTTAAAAATGGGGCAAAAAAGAACCATCACATCCCATCAACCCCACCAGTGAGCGAACCCCCCTGCGCTCCACTAACCCCCGTCGCCGCGGCACTGCGCATGCTCAGAGCCACCCTGGGCACGGCGGTGGTGCCGCCGCTCCCGCCCAGAGGAAGAGGAAAAGGAGGAGGAAGAGGAGGGGCGCCCGTGGGGCGGGCCCGCCTTGCGCGGCCGATGTGCGCATGCGCGGAGGTTTGAACTGAAGGGCGGTTGGTGCTGGCGCTAAGTGAGGTAACTGACGGGGCTCTGGGTATGGCAGCAGGAGCAGCCTCCGAGTGGCCGCCGCTGTCGGGGCTACGGAGCCGGCGTGTCCGAGGGCGGCCGTGGGGCTGGGCCGGGAGGGCCTTGGCGCCTTCCATTCCTTCAGGGCCGCGTCGGCTCTGCTGAGGCCTCCGGGAGCAGCCGCTGTGAGGAGCCGGAGGGAGAAAGGTGTCGGTTGGGAAGCGGGGAGGGGTTATTCGTGCCCGGTGTCCGTGTGGAAGAGTCTGATACTAAAGAGCTGTGCGGTGGTGGGCTCGCTGTTAATAAGAACTGGTGTTACAGCTTGTCTGGTAGTTCTGCCTTGAAGGCTGGTGATTTGCTCGAACCCACCAAACCTTTCTGGTAGAAATCTCTGCAAGACGAAAGAAAACTAAATAAACCCATGAAACCAGGTGGAGCCAAGGAGTCTGTGAGAAAGCTGTTGCTGTACTCCAGGTGTGATAAATGAGGGCTGTTGGCTTGCTCTGCTTCCTGAACCACTTAGAGCATGCTCAGGTAGTTCAAGATGCAACAAGATTCCAGTGTTTGGGGTCTTCTGTAACTCTTGTATCATGTCAATCCAAGAATGGGGTAGTTGCTATCAGGAGTTTTCAATGTTCTGAAGCATCTCAGTTATTCTTGGTCACCATCATGCAAAGCATCTCTGTGGGAGTTGTGATGTGCTCGGTATTGTCCTTTAATACTGGGGTGGGACATTTCACCTGAAGTCAGTAGCTGTCATCTGTAACTGTGAATACCCTGTGTGTGTACATCATGTGTGCTTCAGAGGAGGTCTTGATGTTCCTAGCCAGAGTCTTGTTTGATAGCGGAATAGACTTCACAACTTTGTTAAAGTTGTAAAGTAGGTATGCTTTATTCAGCTGAAGACGCACGGGGGATTGGTCCTCCAAAGGGCATGCGCACCTCAGTGCTGTTTTCCTGCTACATTTATCCTGTAAAGTCATACATATGTATTAGGTTGCACAATACGCCTATACATATTTGTATTCTATCCCTGCTTCGTATTATAATGAGCTAAAAGGCTCTCCACGCATGCGCAGTGCCTCCTGGTGGTCTTGGGCAGGGGTCTTCAGATGAAGTAAGTAGTCTTCCTCTTGTGGGTAGGGGTCTTCAAGGTGAAGTAAAGGAGTCTTCCTCAGGCTTGAACTTTTTACCTCTGGTCCTCATGCATGCTCTTTAGGAGCTGGATGGGTCTGGTCTATATCCAACTGGTTTAATGAGCTGTTCTCTTCATTAGGTTGTATCCTGGTACTGCCTGAAAAGGCATCTGCTGAGCTTGTCAAACAAGCTATAACTTAAGCAGTACCCCCTTGTATAACCCCCCTCTGTTCTCCTCATTAGGAGGTTCTATCCTGGTACTGTCTGATAAGACATCTGCTAAGCTTGTCAAGCCACCTATAACTTAAGCAGTACCCCCTTGTACAATCCCCCTCTGTACATTTTCTCTAACTGCCTTGTATAACCCCCACGTACACAATAGGCCACATCAGTTTCATTGTTCTTGGCATGCTGCATGGAGGAGTTAGTGACAAACCTATAGGAAAATAGGGATGATACTAAAGTCCCAGGAAAGTGAGAGCTGGAGAGGGAGTATGAGTTGAAAATCATTCTGATTTATTGTGTCAGTAAAACTTGGAAGCAAAAGATGGGCTTCAGCGATCCAGGGACATGCATCATGCTAACAAATCTAGGAAGCTGTAGCAAAATTTTATGTTTCGTGGGTAAAAGGTTGATCTCTCCAGTGTACTGAGGGGAAAAAATGCCTCTTTTCATGGTTGCGTTTCACCCAGGGTTAGGCAGTTCTGCAGTGTTGGTAGCTCTTCTGCTTCACTGGAAAGTTTGCCAAAAATACATGGTTTTCAATCCTGGCTGTTACATAAAAAGGCTGCAGAAGAATTTAAATTTTGTAAAATAAGGAGATAAGTGTTGTTATAATCATCTGAAATCTGTACATTGCTTGCAGGAAAGCATGTCATGTTGACAGTTTATGTTGACATACATGATACAGATAATGAAACTTGGAATAAAACTGTGGATTGTTTTGCTAAGTATCTGATTATATTAGGTTTTCGGTCAAAACCCTATATGAAACTTTATCATATCCTTTACAATCGAAAGGAGTTTGTGTTAACTTTTACCTGTGATTTGTTCTCTTCCCTTTTTGTATCAAGTAAAATAATGGAGCTTTGATACACTTGTTGTCTGTGCATCTTCTGAGTATATTGTATGACATTTGGGGGGCAGGTGGCTCTAAATGACTAACTCTGAAGTTATGCTGTTACGTTATGCAGGACCCCTCTAAAAGCTGTTCTTTTCTTGCAGGGATTTGGCTCTCTGATGTTCTTCAGTTGTTGGAGGTTTATCTATTTTCTTGCTTCCTTGTATTGAAGGATTGGAACCCATGTGACAAATGAGTAAAATTCTTCAATCTCAGTTGGGAGTCTGAAAAGATGCTGCAAAGTAAGCGTTCTAAGACCCCAAAGGAGCCTCTGCAACAGCACCAGAAAAGCCAGTCTGATCTCTCTGCATGGTTAAAAGTGGGGAGAATTGGCACTGAAAAGAGTGTCCAGGATCATCAGTCTCTTAATGACCAGGAAAATGGCAGCAAGCAAGAAGAATCACTTGAGCCAGCTTTGAGCTACTTTGCAAACGGTAAGAGCAGCTTTCAGGTTAGCTGCCTAAAGTTGAAAAGATAACTAAATTCTTAATAACAGCAATAATAATTATTTTTAAAGTATCTAATTCTATCTGCTGTTTTCCCCCTATAATGCCCGAACTTTGTAACGTTTCTTTAATGTCTTAAAAGGATTTTCTCTTTCTGTTAATATATAATGAGTCCAACAAAACCCAATAGCTGTAGGGACAGTTCAGAGAAATTTTAAATGGCTCGGTTTTGATTCAGAAGTTTTCATCCTTGTTTGTAATGTTGTGTTTTGGGGTTTTGTTTTTTGCTAGTTCAAGACCGCGTCTCATTGAAAAGGAGCAGTGCTCTGCAGAGACACTTGGCTACTGTGGAAAGCATTGCCCTGCAAAGAGGGTTACCGCCTGAGGCATTTAACGTATTGCTAAGCACAGCACTCAGTGGCAAACTTGGTAAATGTTTTTATGCTGTTAATGTTTCTTCTGTGTATGTCTTTCATTCCCTGCCCACCCCCCCCCCAATCAAATCTGCTACAGTTAATGTGCTTATGGGGAAGGTACTGTTATGTACTTCAGTATACAATTAATCTTTGAGATGCACCAGTATAATTCCTGAGTTCACACTAAAAGTAACCTCAGTTCTTGCTCCAGGGGGTTGGTATCCCAAAAATCAATTACTTGTTACAAATATTTATTTAAAAGCTGGTTTCCTTATTCCAGAGTTGCAGATGTCTGAAAGGCTGAAAGTGACATTGTGTCTGTTCCTTGTTGTAACTGTTTGTGTAGCTTTCTTTAACCCTAGATCAAACTAATTGAACAAACAGACTTGTTGCTTTAGTGAAAGTTGCCCAAATTAAAATGCTGTCCTAACAATCAGTTCAGCTTTGTGAGGGTAGATCTCATGCTGCTTTCTTAGACATGGTGGCCATCATTTATTCTTCTAAATAATGAAATGGTCGATGAAAAAAAACCACTAAACTTTCCCTTCGAACACTAAAGGAACATATGGATTCTTCCTCCATTATGCAAGTAGTGTTGTGCTTTTCTTGATTTAAATTACTGACTTCTCTCTAGAGCACTGATCTGCTGATGTTTGGCTCACAGTCATATCTCTTGCTGATAAATTAGTTGTATTACCAGAAGCTTGTATTACTTTTGATTGTCTTGCCAAGAGTCTAAAAGCTGTTTCACTATTAAAATACTCAATATTCAATTTTCTTTAAGCTGGAAAGAAAAAAGGTGTAGGTAAGTCCCTAGTAGATTCATGTACCCTCTTACTTTAAGCAGTGAAGTGCTGAATAGTCTTGTTTAGAAGGGAATTTTGAGCCAAGCTGCAGAACTGTATTGAGGAATCCTATTCATAAGCACCATCTTATTTTAAATTGTTTGTTTTCCAGCTGATATAGTGAATACTCGTTTACTGAAGAGCCTGATTCCAGAGTCAGTAGTACCAGAAACTTGTGTAGTTTCAGCTGTATCGTGGCTCTGTGTTAGCAAATGCTCAAGCAACATCCAGGTAACTCAGTAAATCTTTACAGTAGTTACTGCTTCTGCACAGGAATGATGAGGACAGATTTTTTTCTTTCTGGAAGCAAAAATCCTGAGGTTTTAATGTAGAAGGTCTTACATAAAGATACTGTCCTTTAGGAAGATTGGCAGACATTCCCATTGCTGAAACAGCAGTGGGAACAGAGAACACTATTTAAGTATGAGTGGAAATTTGCACAGTTTGTGTGTGATGGTACTGACCCCCACCTTGCTACAATCTCATTTCAGGTAGTTGTACAGAGCGATAAGGTCTCCCCTGGGCCTTCTTTTCTTCAGACTAAACAACTCCATTTCCTTCAGCTGCTCCTCAACACACTTGTGCTGTAGACCCTTCACCAGCTTTGTTGCCCTTCTTTGGACATGCGCCAGCACCTCAACATCTTCCTAGTAGTGAGGGGCCCTTGCATCACATCTGAGGGTCATCACATATTCAGAACTGAGCTGCTTTTTCCATTCTGATTTGGCAGTTGACGTTCTTGGCATACATTCTTACACATTTGAACTAGCCCAGTTCTGTTCATCTGTACCTATGTTGTCCTTGAGAGTAGCATGTATCCTTAATGATTTTGTCTCTTAAACTGGCTAGTGACTGGTCTGGTTGGTGTTTGCCCATCACTTAATGTAATAATGTTTTTTTTTCCTTTATGCAGGTGCTTTTCTTAAGATGGCTGATCACAGTTTTTGACTTCATTGATCACAAGGAAGACCTTCATGCTCTCTATGGTTTCTTCTTTTTCTTCTTGCAAGAGGAGAAGATGGTGAGGAGAGCTGGAAAATATATGGAATTGACAAAAACCTAAATGTTCATTAGTAGTGTTCATGTTTAGAATTAGTCTGGAGTAGCTGTTGGTTAGAGACCATTTTCTGATGCCTGGAATTTATTTTGTGGTTTTTCATTTTGCTTTTGAAGATCACTGGGTGATTTAGCTTCAGAACCAGGGAGGTACTGGAGGATTATTTCAGTTTGAATGGCGTGGTTTGGTTGTTTATAAATTGCTGTTTTGTATCAGAGTGACAGTATATTTGGTCTAAATTCCCAATAGTAACTATGTTGCTGCATCTCTGGGAATGCCTTTGATGTCACACGTCAGCAGGTGGAATCTCCTGCTTCTGGGGTGAGACTGAGTTGCATACTTCGGGCAAAAAGAAAACAACCTTTAGAGCAATATTGATTTAAAGGTGAGAAACTCTCAATGCCATTTCACTTAACTGATTTGAAATGTAGCTTAAATGAAAACGAACAATCAGGACATTTCTCTTATATGACAGCTGTAAAACCCAGGTCCTGGAATATTGAAGTGTTTGGATTCGGTTCACATTAAGATGATCTGGGTGGTCATGTTAAGCAGCTATTCTTTCAGTTTAGGATATTTTGTGGTCAGGAAGTTCCGAAGTTATATTGAGTTATATTTCTTGCAAAATTTTTAATGGTTTTAGGTGAACATTAGTTATATTCCTTTCATAAAACTGGATTTAAGATCTTACTGTTTAAAACAGTGTTTTCAGGCACGATGGGCCAATTGGGAAGTGCACCAAAGTTGGTGTGAAAGTGCTTTAAGCCCCTTACAGCCTCAATTATAGAAGCTCTAATGAATTATTTTGATTCTAAGGTGCCTTTCTTACTGAAAATGTGATTGTACTTCCGCTGCTGACTCCTAAAATATCCAGACCATGTTTCCCGTAACAAGATTCAAGCTCACTAAACAGCTTGATTGCTATAGGGACTGCTCATAGTGCAGATAATGTTTCTAAATAAAATTGACATGTGTGACACTTAAAAACCATGCTGTTTCCTAAGGGCAGTAGAGTGTGCTCTGCCCCATGGGGATACAGGGATGACTTGAGGCAGTCAACTGAATAAACCAACATTAGCTTGTGAATCCCTTATGTTGCTTTAGTGTGGTCAGCAGCACCAGCAGGATAGTTCATTACTGTCTTTTCCTTGCAGTGCCCCTACATCTGCCATGTGCTCTACTTGCTCACCAGGAAGGAGAATGGTGAGTCAATACAGTTGTATGAGGTGGAATACCATTTTGTTTCCTACTCTCTTTGCTGGCATCAGCTTTCCTTCTGGTGGAGCTAATGCAGTGACCAGACAATATATTGCTTTTTAGGCAGGAAGCATGAGTGGTAGTGGTAGTTCAGTCTGATATGTGTAGCGTTTTCTGAATTGGAAACTGTCTATTAGCCTAGGAATAAGACTGATTCTGCTTCTTTTGCAATGTCTTTTATAATAAACAGGGTTTATTTTTAAATGAATTTAAAATAAATTTATTTATTTATTTTTTAGTTTTGTTTTTGCTTAAATGTCTGCTACAGTGTTTTTTAAAATGTGTTATGTTCTTAATTGTATCTCCAGTCAAGCCTTTTCGGGTTAGGAGACTGCTTGACCTCCAAGCAAAAATGGTGAGTTTATTTCAAATCTTGTAGAGTTTAACCCATGGTTAATAACGTGGCTTGGAAGACTGATGCCCTTACAGGGTGGAGCAGAGGGGCTTAGTGTCTGAGGACAGGGTTAGACTGGAACTGTACATTGTAATCTTTGCAGCATCAGGGCTTTTATGTCTTGCATGTGTCTGCCTAGTTTTCATTCATGTTTGTGAGCACATGCAATGACATGCACACAGCTATACATTTTATGCCTATGTCTAGTAAAAGCGTTGAAGCAAGAGGTGGCTTCATTTATCTGTTAAGATCTTTAATTTTCTAATAATCTTTTCCAAGTGGTATCAAACATGACTCAAATATAAGATTGTGGAGAATCTGTGATCTATTTTAGAAAAAAATGTATTTTTGAGCAGTTAGATGGCAGAAGATTTTGTTATAGTTTTGATTGTTAAATTCCTTCTTATTAGTTATGATTACAGGAAATTTCTTCAATCCTCTTCCTGTGATGTTTCACTGACAGTTTCTTCTGTTCCTTTCCTTTTCAGTTGTTCATCTATGGTCTCTTACTGACATGTAGCTTTAGAAAGCTTTTATTAATCAGTGGTAGGTTTTTAATTCTGGAATACAGTATGTGGTTTTCTACATTAAAAACACACCCCACATGTTTTTCCTCTTTTTCTGCATTTGGCAGGGAATGAGGTCTCATTTGCAGGCTCTGCTATCACTTTACAAGCTCTTTTGTCCTGAGCTGGTGAACATAACGCTTCCTGCAAAAACAAAGGTAAGGAGTTAGATTAGTCTACTTGGAAGCAATACTTACAACACTGTACTGAGATTTCCATTTAAGCTGTAGCATGATTTAGTGGTGAAGGTTAAATCCCAAAACCATCTTCAACTGTTTTTTATGGGCACGCTATATTAACTTTTGTGATAAAGCCCTGATTACCTGGGCTGAAACCAGTATGAATACTTGTGTGATGCTTTAGCACTCAGAATTTACAAACTGATTGCAACTGAAGTGACAGAAAATAAGTTTTATGCAGAAAAGTTGTTGGGTTCATTTTTCCAATTTTTATTTTCTGTAGTATCTAGATTAATTTGAGAATTTGGTTACTCACTGCATCCTTCTGTTTGGTGGATATCACTGATGCTGAATTTGGGAAGTCTTCCCAGTAACTTGGTGTAAGCATACGTTGGTAATTTTATTTTAATGTATACTTGAGATTTACTGTATGAGTTACTGATTTATCTGAATAAGGATTATAAATCTGAAGCGTTAGAGATCTCTTCTGAAAAGGGGGCATCATTTTAGAAGCGTAACTATTGAACTTCAGGCAAAAAGTAATGAAACTGAGGACCACTGCTGCTTTGTCTGTCAAGCAGTGTTGAGTGTATAAACCCTGTGGTGACATTTATCAGAATAGAAACTGATCTTTCTGTCACTATGTCTTCGTTTGGCTTCTTGCATAGATATCTGCTTTATGTTTTCAGATTTTCTTCAAGAATGCAGAGGACCCGTGGAAAGCAGCAATCAAAACAATAAGGCAAAGAAGGCTGGAAAACTCTCCAGTGCCCCAGCCACTGTTTTTAGGTGAAGCTCAACCTCGGTCACAGAAAAGGGTAGGTTGTGGGCCTAAGGTAGACCTTAGAAGGTGCCAAGGAGCTGTTTTCTTTATGGTTATTGGCAAATAATTGAGTCAGGCTTTATTTCGGCACTGGGAAGGGTGGAGGACCTATATAGAAATCCGCCATTCCCATTATAATGAAAGCCTTTCTTGAAAAATGGGCTCCTTATGGAAGCACTGCACTTGATTGCATTGGAAACAGTCATTGCTATTCTCTTTTGTTTCTTTTCTAAAGAAATGGAATGCCCAATTGATGATTCCTGTAAGTAGTACAAACAGAAGTCATTTGGAAGCGGTCAGGGAACAGAACACTGGTTTGTACAGTACAGATGAGTATTTCCCAGTAGAGCTGCTGCAGAGCTTTCCTCAGCTCCTACAGAACATCCACCGTCTAGAGGTGAGTTTCTGGAAGGTCTTGGTGAGGTCACTGTTTTGAGAGATCAAAGGTTATACCTCTAACCCCAGTTTGTATGTGAACAGTGTGTGGGCTGCCTAGTTCTACCAGAGCATCTAGTCCTACCTGGGCTTGACAAACGAATCCTGGAGATGTTCTTGTTACTGATAAAGGGATTGGACAGTTCTGGTAGAATGAGTTTCTTTGGCAATTTGCTGATATAAATACTGAATAACTCTATTTTTTTGTTTGTTTGTTTTCTTCATTTCTCTTGCAGTTTCCTTCCCGGATGGGTTCAGTGTTAACAAACCCTTTATTGCTTCACTACCTGAATTGCACCAAAGATGAATCTGTTTACCTGAGGCTTTACTATTGGTTGGGCCAGAGTCTTCAGGAAGGTAGGAACTTAATACTACCTTGTATGGTAGGGAGGTGAAGGATGTCTGAGGCTTTTCACCTTTTGCTAATGGTACTTTGCTATTCGGATTTATAGTGGTAATGTGATAATCACATACTGTTAAAACACCTATTGGATAAGAACTGACTTTTATTTCTGATTGTGCAAATTCTTGCTGTACTCATATTTGAATACAATATTCTCTCCTATTTAGAGTGTACTTGGTGTGTGGTTGAGAATAGCCAAAATGAAGAAGAATTCAGGGAATTCCTGGAAATTCTCTGCAGGACACAGTGTTTCTTGCAGGTAAGTGCTTGCTTTGGGGAAGCAAAGGCTTTCATGATGTCTTCCCTTAAGCTACTTTTGGGACTTACCTATTTCAAGCAGTATCTCTGAGAAGTGACAGTGTCTCAAGTAATAAAACATATTCCTAAGGCAAGTCAATATTCTGAAGATGACCTTGTTTTCTACAGGAAAGGTAGTTTTAAGAATGATATTAAGAGTTATAATTTGAATGTCCTGGTGAATTGTATGGCAGGAAGGAGGTGTAAGCCTCTTTCTTCAGGGTGAAGTGAGCATGGCAAAGTGCAGGCACATGAGATTAGTTTTTGAATGTTCATCTTCTTCTTTGTAGGAGGGACTTGCTCCCTGTGAAGAGTTCCTGTATCGGAGCCTTCCTCTCTGGGATGGCTTGTGCTGCCGATCACAAATCCTCAGGCTTGTCAGTTGGATCCCACTCAACAGCATGTATGGTATGTGTGAGCCTCAGAGTGAGGCTGGACAGTGTCTGATCTTGAAGGACAGAATTTGTCCACAGATGTTATACCGTCTTCTCATTTCATTTTCAGAAATGAAATCATATCTGTATGAACCCCTGGCACAGCTCTTCTTCACATCATCCCTTTACTTTAAGGTACTTTAAGTGAATACAGTGGCTGTTTAGTTTCAGTTGTTACTGTATCTGCACTTGTACCAGGTGTAGCAGTCTGAGGGGTTGTATAGGGGACTTTTGGGGAGGTCTGTGCCCAGAGGAGGGTAAAGTATGTACTTACAATGTAACTTCTGGGGAAATTTGAGTGCCTTCATGATACTTTCTTTTTCTTTTTTGACTGGAATTAAGCTAAGGCCCTGGAAATAAAAAGAAATGAGGGTACACAAGACAATAGTTGGTTTAATTTTTTATTGCAATTTTAACTCAGTATTTGAAGCGCACATCCTCCAGGAACAGCTGTGTAATGCATACATTCAGTTCAAGGGGATATGCAGTTACCTCACTGCTCTTTGTGGTCATGAGAAACTCTTGATATCTTTCTTTGCATATATCAGCTCTAATGGCATTTCTTGTTTAGTATTAGTCACTTTTGTTAATTGTTATCAACCTGTTCTTGGTTTGGTCTCTTTCAGTGCAGTGTTTTTGAAAGCCTGAAAAGGCTGTTGCAGAACTGGTTGAATTGGCAGATGGCTCACCTGGATTCAGCAGCTGACTTCCAGACCCGTTCTTTGTAAGTTTGTCTGAAATAAGTGCAGTGTTCTGTGCATTGTTCACTAGTGTATTTAGCAATATAGTCTAACCCTATTACCAGCATAAAGAAAAACCAGAAGGTTAATAATGTAATGTTTCTGCTCTATTGTAAGTTACCTTGTCAAAGAATCATAGACTAGTTTGGGTTGGAAAAGATGATTTAGTTCCAAGCCCTCTGCCATGGTCAGGGACACCTCACACTAAACCATGTCACCCAAGGCTGTGTCCAGCCTGGCCTTGAACTCTGCCAGGAATGGAACATTCACTACTTCTCTGGGCAACCACCCTCATGGTGAAGAACTTCTTCCTCATCTCTAACCTGAACTTCCCTGTTTCAGTTTGCATCCATTAGCCATTGTCAATGCTCTTCTTTTTCTTTAAAAAGACTTCTAGGGACACTGAAGATTGAATTTTCCAGAAGTCAAATCCTTGTAGCACTGACAGCTGGGTCATGTTTGTAGTAACATTGGTAGCAATATGTTACTGGGTATATTGAAGAACTAATTCATGTTGCTGAATGCTTGTGGGCCAGGATAAACTTCAATTTCTTTTTTACTGCCTGCAGAGAGGTGTATATACTCACACTGCATCATGTCGTTGCTGCAGGAATACAACCTTTTCTGGACTATTGGACACAGTGGCTGAACTGATCCACTTTGTTGCAATGATCTCTACTGTTGCCTTGCGTTTGGAAAGCAATCATACATTCTTGCTGTACTTCATCCTTGACTTCTATGAGACTGTACGTATCCTGTTAATTTCTGGCTTTCAGAATCCCAATACACGCAAAGGATGTTTGCATTTTTTAAGCTGGACCATGAAAACATCTTCCTCATAGTTTACAGAACTTTGTGATTAAATGCAAGGATATTCCAAATACTTGGTTGGTCTATAGGTGATGACTGTTGCTCTTGCATCCTTAGGCAGAACTAAATATGCTGCTAGAAAGCGGTTGCTCTTAAATCAGAGATGAACTGTGACTTGAAGAAACAATATGGCAAAACATGCTCTTTTAGTGCTGATTTATAGAAAAGAACAATGTTCACTTCAATTTCAAACAACATATCCTGAATTTATTTTTTTTTTTCCTCCTTAAAAAATGAGGCTTTCCCCAGTTTGTCTTGGAGATAGGCTAAGGGCATCAAATAGGCTTCAGTCTATTCTCTAGTTTCCTCATGTCCTGTCTCTTACTGCCATGTGACCTCCATGTGTAGGTTTGACTCTGAGTAACCATGACGAAACATACGGTATACCTAAGTGGTTGAAGCAGAGACTGAGATATGGACTGACGATGTATCTCATACTGAGAAGGAAATGGAATTGCTTCACCTTGGCTTTCCCTCCTAACTGAAGTCGCTGGAGCTGGCTGGAATGCAACATCATATGCTCTTTCATTCTTAAAGCCTTTGGGGTTTGTTAATGGCAGTATTAATCTGCCTCGATTTGCTCCATTCTCACAGGCGTGTGACATATATCTGAAGTACAATATGCCTTTGTTGATAATGCCTCCTGCTGGAGTTTTTTACCCAGTGCTCCTTGGCATGGATCCTGTCAACTTGAATCAGCTCTGCTACATTATGTACAGGTACTACAAACGGTGTGGGCTGTAGGGACTCCTTGTTTTCTCTTTGAGTCTTTTGGAAATGAAACTATCATCATCTCATCATCTTCTTTTTCTTACCATGCAAGGCAAAGGTGGAAGTTCCAGCTGTGTGGAGCTTTCATGATACTGGATGCTAATACCTGTAGTTCCCACTTCATTATTTTTTTTTCAGTCTATTATCCAAAATATCAGGGTTTTGATGTATTTCCTAGTATTATTTCCGTATCTTTGAAATGTGAAGGAAGGAATTCCTTTATTGTTTTGAGAGAACTTATCAGCCACCTGGAATCACTAGTAGTAAACAACTTCTCACTCTTGTGCTTTGACCACTAGACTACAGAATGTGTAAGGAAAAGCTTACATGGGCTGAGTAGGAAGCACTTTTGCAGCCTTCAAACCCTTGGACTTTGGGACTGCCTTGTGCTGCTTTCAGGTGCAAAGACAGTGCAGTTTAGCTCTGCAGGACCCCCCAGCATGGCTGCTGCTGTTGGCCTTGTTAGTTCCAGTGGCTGCATGTTAGAAGAGCAGCCAACTGCTGACAGCTGGCACAGGCCTCTCCATGTGGCCTCTTTCTCTAAGGAGTCTGCAGGGTAATTAACATGACAGGATGGTCTCTGGGAAATAAGAGGAGCCAGTGCTGCTTATAGAGAGCAGCTGTCACGTTGCATTACTTGCAGTGCTGCTGTTCCTCTGCTTAGTGAAAGACTCCTTTCTTAAAAACACGCTGCATTTCTTTGCTGATTTTAAGGCTGTATATCAATAGTTACGTATCACCTTTATAAGGTGACTGTCTCAGGGACATTGGTCATGTCTTAATCATTTAAGAGTTATTAACTGCTTCACTACTCTGCCTGGGAAGGCCAAGTGATAAAGTCCCTTTGAGTTCCTTTTTTATCTCTCTCCTTTTTATCAGTAAAGTTTGCTTTCTCTTGTATAGGAAATAAGCTTTCTTAATATGTTCCTCCAGCTTATTTTCAACACTGGTAGGTAGTAAAAACTTACCGGCCCCCAACTTTATTGTTTGCTTGTTTTTCTCAGGTATCGAGCCAACTTGGTGGCTGCAAAAGAAAATGAGCACAGTGAAAAGGTATTGTGGATAAACATATGTGCTGGAACAGACCTTAGCAAGGAGTTGGGTTGTTTGGAGGGGAGGTGTTGTGATGACATTCTTTTAAGGGCTGGAGGGAGCACACAACTGCTTCAAGGATGCTATTTTTTGGTTTATGTTCTTGTCCCCCAGGAAATACAGCAATTCAGGTTCAGCAGTGAGACATACAGAGAGTACAACCAGAACATAACAGCTATGGTGGGTTGTCTGTGGACATCCAATGCATTCCGGAGGGATACTCACCCTCAAGGTCTTCATATGGATGATAAACTGCTGAACAAAACTGGAGTGAAGGAATTCAGAACCAGCTTTAACATTGTCTATCACCCAGCCATGATAGGCTATGCTGTCCAGTTCCTGCAGCAGGTAATGGTGGAGGCCAATGTTTGGGCCTTTGGCAGCACTGGATGTTGTTTTGACAGTTTCTCTAGAGACATGGCTCAACACAGTATCTGACTTGTGAAGTCAACTGGGCTTTCAAAAGGTGCTCTGGGCATTCTGTGTGTGTGTGTGTGTGAGATCAGTGGCACAATTTGAATAGTCTCTGCGTGGTATGAAATCATGAATGTAACAGTTCTAGATGTGAACTCATGCTTATAAATTTGAAGATAGAATAGCCAAATAAGGAAAGAAATTACTAATTCAGTAAAAGCTTCCCAATAGTGCATCAGGCCCCACAAAATACGCAGTGTGACCTAAACAGTTGAATGGCAGAAATTCAAGTAACACCTAGTTCAACTGTATACAGGTGCACATGGGAGAATCTTTGCATTCTTCCTCCTGCAGAGCAAAATTAGCTTTTGCTTGGCAGCATTACATGTGTGTCTTAAGCCAGGAGAAATACTCGCCTGCAGTGTCTTCTTAAGCACATCAGTGTTGAGCACCAGAGGGCACTGCTCTGCAGCACACTCGGATAACACAAGCAATAATCTAAATGTAGTAGATTCTGTCCTCTTGCTCATCTATGTGTAATGCTTTTGGGGAGGGGGTGGCTTTTACACTACAGAGAGACAATGGTTAAAGTTATCTAAATAAATACTTCGTGTTGCTGTCCAGTAATGCTGCAGCAATGGGGCAAGAGGGTCTCAGATTACCTGGTCACTTGTGGGATGTGGTATGATGCTGGAAGCTCAGTCTAAAGCATGATTTAAGAATCTCTGAATGTATTTGCACACCTACAATCCCTGATTTAGGAGGGGGCTAAGCAGAGGTCCAGCAACTCTGTACATACTTTTTAATCTGACTTGATACTGTTTTTATTTCCTCTCCTTAAGGCTTGGCCAGATGATACCACCTTCAACTTCAGTTTAATTAAGGTAAGGTTTCTTGTTTTAATGAAGTGAAAACAGACAGTTTTCAGCTGCTGTGTAGGAGAGGATGAGGTGAGAATATTCACCAGTTCCACAAATGCTCTGTAAAAATGTTGAAAGGGGAAAATTCCAGCTGTAGGTTTTGGTTCAGTGTCTTACAGGAGAACATCAACATCTGAGAAGTTCTGTACCTGCCCGTCTGTGGTCTTCTCCACAAGTCAGTGCAGCATCAGGACAACACTGTTTAGTGTTCTCTGTAGAACAAGTTCTATTTTTGGTGTAGTTGAAGCAGAATTTCTGTTATCAACAAACTTAATATTAAATTTCTGAGATGGATATGTAGCTTTGTTACAGCTTGAACAGGGATCCTCTGCTGAGCGATTACAGTGGCAGTTTAATTTCCTATACCACAGTGCACTTCAAACCTGATCTGGAGGAACTGCCACTAGTGATGGGAAGGAAGGTTTTAATATCCAGGTTAATTCTGTTCCTGTCATTTTCACTGTTGATCCAAAAGACTTTGCTCTTTTTAGAGCTGGGATTTAGAAACATCTTCAGAATTAAAAAAAGATGATTACAATTTGTCATGTTCAAGCTAACAATGTGTAATTCATAACTGATAAGTTTGGGCATGTGGATACAGGATGTGACCCTCTATACTTGTAGACTAGGATGGATATTGTCAAAGTATGGAAGGCAATATTTACAGACCTTTTCAGAATGGCCTAAGAGACAAAGCTGTGTCCTGCACATCTGACTATTCTTTCTGGTTTTATAGGGAAAGAAGTGGAGTTGGTATCTGAAATACCTCTATGCAAAAGGTTTAGAGGGCCTGAAGCTCTTTATTGAAAGCAGCATCAGTCGTATTTCCCAGGCCTCTCACAATAAAGCAGGGAATATGGAAATGTGACCTGGGACTCGCCAGAGCCTTTGTATCATTTGGAACAAGAAAGCAGAATATAATGGACTGTGTCACTAATTCCTCCTTCCTCAGAAGAGAGAAACAGAGCAATTACCCTTGTCTGCATTTTTGTACTGACATCTATTTTAGGAATGTGAAGACACAGAAGGAATGCTGAGTGCTTGTAGCTGCTGCCTTGGCTCACTAATACCCCCTCTTGTCCCTGCTGAACTTCAATGGTCTGAAACTGCTGAGCTCAGATGTTATGTATCATCCTCAGCTTTCATCCTTATTTCTCTCAGTTGGAGTATATGCTTTGATTGAGAAACGGACATTTTCCAGCTCAAAATCACGATGAGCAATGCTGCTTCATTTTTAAGTAATGCTGATCCCTGACCTTCTTTGCTTTTCTCAACAGTAGGTAATGAGAAACAGTTGAATCAGTCTTTCAGGAATCCCATATACGCTCTGGATTGTAGCACTGTTGCACCATGTACACACTGACTTCAAACAGGCTGACCAAACTGACCTTCCAGAGGTTCACTTTCAGTATGAAGCTTCTAGATGAGACTTTGTGCTAAAGCTACATACAAAGTTCTTCTAATGCAACTGGAAGATTTGGTGCTCAGTTGGTGATTTATTGATGACTTCAGCAAAAATGTTGCTACTGGCTCATCATTTTTTAAGTGCAAGCACAGCTTTCCTTTATGTAGTTTTAGCTCTGTATGTATTGTATATTGTCTGTGTACATATAATTTATATTCTGTAAAATGTTTTCAGTGTGTTACTTTGAAGGAGCTTTGCTACAAAACTTACCTTCTCCTGTCATTTCATTGTAACACTGACTAGAAGCTGGGTGAAGCTCAACTGAGGTCTCCAAAATTTGAGTGAACTTTATTTCACTGTTGTAAAAGAAGGTTGTAACAACTTGACAGATGGGTCAGAGTACACTGAATTTTGCACTTTAATCTGTACTTTATTCTAGTAATCAGTCCTGAGAGTGACTCCAGAACCTGTAATGATGTGTTTGGTCTCTGCGTCCTCTCACAGGTGTATATATATTTATATGTCTGTATATATATGTATATTCACTCCAGAGAATAAGAAAATCTTTCCCTGGGGACCTTGAGGGAGATTTGCAGAGAGATCTGCTTAGACTAAAGTACTCCCCTCTCTCATCCTGCTGTGTTACTCCAGCCTGTGTAGGGGCCATTTGCTAATTTCTGTTGACAGAAACTGATCTTCAAAAATCTGGATTATATTTTCTCAACAGAGGAAACATTACAAATTCCCCCCCCCTTTGCTGTGTTTTAAGATGTATTCCTAACATATAAACATTTATCTCCTTTAAAGGCTGGTCCTGTTGTTTTGGATCAGCTCAGCTTGCTGGCTGATGACTGTTCCACCACCGGCTGGCAATCCCTGGCATATTGTTGCCTGTTGTTAGACTCCGTAAAGGTTTCAGCTAAGAATCCAAGGAGGAGAGCTCTATAGCTCCATAGTTGGTTTTATGATTTTTCTATGAAAACGTGAGTTTTCACCGTTCACACTATGAAAACCTTCAGAAAGGTATTTGAAATGCTGGTACTTATGCAGGAAAGCCTGTGTATTGCATTCCTTAAGGACAACTCACACCATTGTTTGCAGATGTTGACTAGACTTGCACTTTCCTAGCCACTGGGATTCCATTCAGGAATAGGGCTGGAGGGTTTGACTGCCCCAGGTGTGAAGACATGGACCCAGTTACAGACCTGGGTAAGGGGCTGTACATTAGGATGTACTGAATGCTGTTGAGTTACTGGCTTCTAAGATCAATTTTTCCCTTGAGGCTGGTGTTTAGTTGAGAGAACTGAATCATGTTATGGCAGACTTGTTGCAGCATCACAGGTCTTTTGTTATGCCCTGTGTTATGAGTCTTTAAACAAATTCTGTACAACTTTGTCATTCAAGAGCACTGGATGCTTGGAGGTGCAAAAATAAAGCCTCAGGGTAGACAAGTTTCCTGCAATGTCAGCTTTTTGGTCAAGATGGCTGTTTAAAACTTCCCATGTAGCAATGATGTGCCTACTAGGCACTTGACTTTTAGCCTCTGGACACCTTGGTGGTTGTTGTCATCTTTCACATCTGGACGTTTATTTTCTTTTCCCTCTAAATACCTGACTTCAATGCAAGGATGGTCCTTTCCGGGAGAAATGGGCTGCTCTGTTTTCTGTTTTTTCCTGCTTGTTCTTTACCATCTAATCCCTGTGGTAAAATTTGTGGACTTTTTTTCTATTACAAGCATATGCTTAAAGTCTTGGCTGACCACAGCATCTGCATTGAGGACTAAACCAGAATTAGTCAAGACCCATCTGTTTCCCAGTAGGTGACGAATAGATGATTTACCTTTAGTGTGTGTTTCTGTCTGTTGTAAGGAGCTGCCTGTATGTGTATGCTATGAAACTGCACCAGGAACAACTGCTTTGTGGTACTGTTTGATAGGAACAATACAGAATGAAAAGTTCATTTAAGACTCACATTCATTTTGTCAATACATCCCAGAAATATTTAAGTTTAGGTCAGACCTGCACCCTCCCTCAGGGGATTACATCCAATACAATCCACTAGAAAGTAAGTACATGCTTTCATGTTACCGGGCTCTGTTCTCAAGTGTGTTTTCTTTCTAGAGCATGCTGTTTCAAGGTCCAACTTTCTAGTATCATCTGATCCCGGGGAATGCTGGTTTGTGTTCTGTCTGTCCCTCAGGAAAAGTTGATGATTTACTCCGGTTCCTGCCTGGCCTCCCTTCTCAGGAGCCTTCTACATACTTAAAATGTAGGAGTTCTGTAATCTTACAAGCAGGCCAGGGCAATGGTCACCTCAGATTTCCCACATTCTGCAGCTTTTCTAATAGTCTATTTAGATGCTCACAAAAAAGGAGGCCTTTCCCTTTGGAAAAAAATCTCTGAGTGGGTATTAGATAGGATTTCAAAGTACAGGGTCAGAATCCTGTCTGGGTAAGCAGGAATAGCTCCACTCATTCCTAATGGATCTGTGTTGAGTTGTACCAGCTGAACATCTGGTCTATGGGTCACAGGACCAAAGCCATTAACCCCTCCCCTGTCAGACCCAGTGGCCTGAGCATTATGCATCTGCAAATGGAAGTGCCTCAGGCTAGAGTTAAGCTGAATTAATTTTCTGAAGCTGTATTTATTTTCTGTTTCTGTTAATAGTGATTTTATTTTGTGGGGAAAGCTTCACTCGTGCGCTTTCACACATCAGGCTGTGTGGCTCTGTCAGAGAGAGCTTGCTCTGAAAGAGTTAATCATTTCAACCTGTTTTCAGCTGGAATGAAGAGACTGGTTGCTCTGTGTCCCTGCTTTCTATTCTCTTGTTGGCCTACTTCCCTCTGCTTGCATTTTGCATTCTTAATGCCATGAATAAATCAGGACCCAAGGATTTAGAAGGTGGTACAGCTGTAGCCACTCAGAAAATTGAACCTCTGAGGCTTGTACTGCAGCTCTAACAACTGCCAATATATGTGCTTCTGAGCTCTTTTAATAACATCTCACTGGTGCTATGGTAAAATTCACTTTGCCCTTTTTAGATGTTTAAGGTTTTTGTGCTTCTACCCAGCATCTCCTCATGTGGCTCCCTTTGTCTTCTGGGTAAAGCTCAGTTATAAGCCCTGGCTGCTGTGACAAAATGGTTTATCACAAATCCTGGGGGAGAAAAGAGCGAGGGGAAAGTGAGGGATCTGACCTGGCTGAGGGCTCACCTCTAAAGAATCACAGCACAGTCAAACTCCTGTCTGGCTGTAGCCTGAGGTCCTCTGATAACTGCTCATTAATAATACACATTGGACAGCTTCTATCTGTAGTGCTGTGGCTCCTGAGAGTATGTGAGTGAGCTCTTTAGTCAGAGGATGCATCCAGCCTGAGTGAAGAACAACAGGCATCAGTAATAAGCTTCCTCTGGAGGGTGAGTATCTTGAAAGAACAAAGTCTCCAAGTATTTATTTTCCAGGAAAGATGGTTTATGTTGTACTAAAGGGTTTCCCTTATAATGGCTTTTAAAATAAAAGCCATAATGTGATTCTAGTCTGATGATGGCTTGATTTCACTAAACTTTGCTTTTTGACTAGAAGGTCTTTTATGACTTTAGCATATGGTGATGGGGTTTTCAGCACAGGATTCCTGAGATCTGTACCTGGCTGTTAGACCTTCCCAAGTTACTCCCAGGTAATTATAGTTGGCAAGGGAGGTATTGAAGTACATAAATAATGCTCAGTGAAGCGCGTGTCTTATGATGCTGCTTCATTTCTCTCAGTTTCCTGTGTTGTAGGAGTAAAATGTCTGTATAGCAGAAGGTAAGATTAAAAAACCAAACCCAACCTTAATTATTTTGGCATCTAATTTCCATTTTCAGGCTCACCACAGACAGAAACTGACACAGTTGGGCTTTAAAAAAAGCTGCAGGTGCCTTACACAGGCTCGAAACACTACTTTAACCTTGACAGCAATCAGAGATGTGTAGGCTCAGACATGATCATCCCATTCCACAGCTTAATGAGTGAGCTTGCACCAGGCAAGCTGTGGTACCTGCCAGCAATGTCACACAAAATGGACTGCTCTAGCCCAGGCTGGGTAATGGGACGTTAAGTCACCGTAATGTGGCTGAGCTCCTGAGCCTCAGGCAATAGATTTATGTATAAATTGCCACAGATGCACATTTATTCTCTGCCTAAATCATTTGGGCTCTTCCTTTAAAGAATTCAGTGATAAGCTGCTTGTGTGTATTTTCATATGCAGCTCTATCCCCATGCAGTTTGACTTGCTCTCCTCTAGCATCTGTGCTGCCTGTAAGTCTTGAGTGTGCTCTCTGCAGAGAGGCTGCTCGCTGCAGGTTTCCTCCCAGCCCTCTGGAGTCTCTAGGCCTGTAGCACTCCCATCATGGTTTGCTGTACACGGATCACTAAGCAGTTTCCTTTCTCTTAGGGCACCTCTGTTCTATGTCGGAGTGGATCTTCAGCAGCTCCTGTGTGATTGCTTTCCTGCTCCTTTGTGTGCACAGCCCAGTAAATAAGCAGGGGGATGGAAAGCACATTGTCAATGTGTTGACAGCTTTTGAAGAATAAACAGCCCCGAAAGCCGCCTCTCTGCCTTCTCCCCTGCTGCTTTTGCTTTCTTTTCTATCATTTTCTCTATTTTCTTTTTTTCCCCCTCTCTCTCCCTCCCAAATTCTTTTGCACTTGTTTGACACCCACCCCTGTTCCTTTTGGTGCTCGCTGCTCTCTCCCCTGTAGTCCCCATTTCTCACCAGGGTACTGTTTCAATCCCTATGCAGGAACAAATGAAAAGGGGGATTCATTCTGTTTCTGAGTGTGTCTGTTTGTATGTGTTCTCTCCCCATTCTTCTCTCTCACCCCAGGTCCATGCTTTTAGTAAGTGTCCTGCTGTTTTCCTAAATGCTTTCAGCGGGGTAGAGTGTGCATGGGGGATTTCTGTGCTTACAGGTGCTGGCAAAGGAGGTGGTGTTATTTATTTGGCATCAGGGTGATACAATATCTGAGCAACTGTTCGATTCTGCTCAGGCTGTAAATGGGCCCCTAATTCTAGTTTTACTCCTTCTTGTTGAAAAAAGGCTTTTTGTGCTTTACTCACAAACGTGCTTGCTTATCTAATACATTGGAATTGATGGGCAGGTCTGTCTCTTTGTGTGCCATCTCTTCCTTCTGGCTTTCCCTTCACAGCATAACCACTGAAACCAATGATCCTGCATCAAAACTGAGTAACTCATTTTGGTATGGATGGCTGTGTGAGAACTCAGCCTCATCTGTTACTTCAGTTAGGACAAGACGCAGATGAGGGAGCCCTGTGTTTTAGGGAAACATGGATTCTCAGGGAGAAATGGGATTTCTTTAAGCTGTAAAGAATCTAGTCCCAGCTCAAAAGCCTTTCACCAAACCCTTCTGCAGCAGCTGGATCCACGAGGATACTGTTGGTGTTGTGCCTCTTCCTATATTCTCCTTTTAGC